AAGGCGGGTGTGACCGGTCGGCAGTGGATGTTTACTCCCCTGTCGACTGGTCACACTTGTCCTGTGGTCCTTGTCATGATTGGGTACACAGAAAAAAAGTAAGAAAATAATAGCTTACCAAGTTGTATGAGCGACATCAGTCAGCATTCAACTTAACAACGGATTGTTTTTGCAAAGTCAACCATAGAATTTGCAAAAGGTTGACTTTAAACAACATTCTTCATATCCTTGTATCATCAACTTATTTGTCAATAGCATACCTCGTCTTGGGAATTGTTCCTATGTAAAATATCTTCTTGCACATCGAATCAGCTGGGAGATGGAAACTCTATATACAGGTGATAATTTTTAATTGTTACATACATTAGGGATGTTGACGATAGAAAAGTTGAAATCAACACCTTTTAAGTTCAATTGCTAGTTTGTCATCAATATATTTCTTTAGTGAAATATCCAAATATGAACCAGATGTTTCCGATTCTTTAGTGTCTTTTATTTCGAGTTCAGTGGGATATATCGAATCAACGTAAGAATGAAACTGAATATTATTAATGAATAAAATGTCGTTGATATATCTTAATTACGAATTAACCACAGCAAGACTTTTTTTTTCATGTAAAAATATTTGAATGAATTCTTCTACACAAGCATACAAAAACAGGTCTGCTAATAACTGGTTATGAATAGTGCGCATGGGAATTCCAATAGACTGTTGGAAGACCTAGTCTCCGAAAACTACATAGATATTCAATAAGGAAAACAAGCGTCCTCGGAGAAACCTGATATGGCGCTGGCTTCGTGATTGGGAGGCCCGGTTCGATTCTTTGCCGCGCCGAGTCAAACCTAAGACGTAAACATAGGTAGTGACTGTTCCTTCGCCAAGCGCCCAGCACTAGAAGTGAAAGCCACAGGTCTTTCGGATTAGACCTTAAAAACCGAGGTCCTGTGTAACGGTAGACGTTGGTACAATAAAGAACCCTCATTGCTCAATGGCCCTGAGTGCCGAATATGGGTCTAAATTTGAGGCCCCCTTCACCGGCATACGGTGACGTTTATATGAGTGAAAAATTCTCAAATGGGACGTGGAATAACATATACAATCAATCAATCAACCTCGGAGTACTTGTATGTAGAACTAGAATGTTGGAATTAAATAAGTTTGCAGATGAGCAATGACAAGATATTCAAATATCTTAACTTGAAAATAAAATATGGAGATAATCCATTGAAACAATACATATCGGTAGCCAAGCAACACGGATATCTAAAGAACATCAGAGGTGGGATAAGGTGCCATGTAAGTGAAGTTTGAAACATATTATGATAAGCCAAAGTCAGAAATTAATGGCATAATCCAATAATTCCCACTACATAATCGCTGGATGACGTTCCAATGTGTCAATTTGACAAATCTCAAATAAGACAAAATTCCACCAGAATTGAGAAATAAGGTAAAATTTCCTACTTGGGCACCCTCTTTTGGGCTCCGTTTATGCTTTGAAGCAAATATACTGTTGATTTTATAACAAGCATCATTAAAGATTCTTAACTGCAAAATATGCGGCTTGATCCAACAGAAAAGTCACAACTGCTATAAAATCTTTAATAACCGAATATTATCAACGAAATTGACCCCTTATCTATTTTGATTTTTACCTTGAAAAATCATTTAGTTAAAAAAAGTACTTTTAAAATATAAAGATAATCACAACGTCAGTTTCTGCATATCTCCGAACGGCAAGAATGTTACCGACATCGTTATGACGTTACTTTTCGACACTCATTTTCAGTTTATCTGCAGAACTTTTTAACCTCACATATGCTTAAGCATCTTGTTTGAGTTGTATTTGTAAAACTATTTGAAGTTTGAGGAGTACGTGAAATAAAAACTATATGTGAGAAATTGAAAAGATTTCAGGATGAGTTAAAAATGAGTTCCGAAGAGAAAAGTCATAACGATAAATTCTTGCCTTGCGGCGATTTACAATACCTAAATAAATGTTGTATTTATTCTAATAATTTAAAAAGTATTACATATATATGAATGAGAATTTGCGGCAAAATTAAAATAGATAAAAGTATTTATATATAAAATTTTGATAAGTTTTGATTATCAAAAATTACATAGCAGTTGCGACATTACTTTTAGATCAACCCTCGTATCACAATTCCAACTATTTTGATTTTTATATCAGTTTAGGGACCGAATTCGGCTATTGCCATACCTTGTCCTCTGACGAGTTCAATTGCTCTCTCCAATATGCATTTTTGTATGAAAACAGAAACTGAGCTTAACACAGTGTGGCGACAGACAAGACAGCTGTAACAAAAAAAAAAAAAAAAAAACTACACTGTATATGCGTCATTTATGAATATAAATGTCAAAATGTACATGTACCTATTTCCTATGACAATGCTCAAATGATTTTACTCAAATTGTCAGAGTAATATTTTGAAAGACAAGATATTACTAATAAAGAAAGGATGGGAAATTTTTATGCCCCCGTAATCGAAGATACGTGGGCTTATAATTTTTGCTCTGTCCGTCCGTTCGTTCCTTTTGTCTGTTTGTCCTAGCTTAAACCTTGCCAATAACTTTTGATTGGTTGGAAGTTTTGCTTTCATATATCATATTTGTATTTCTTGTGACAAGACCTTTCTTTCGATACCAGCATATTTGACCTCTTGACCTTGACTCGAAAGTTTGACCAACTTTCGAAAATTCTAACCTTCGCCATTACTTTTGAACGGTTAGTGCTAGGGCTTTCATACTTCTTATGTGTATTCCCTGTGAATTGGTGTTTCCTTTCCTTGGGTACAAATATTTTAGATCTTGATCTTGGAGACGACCCGTTTTTAGAAACCTTTAACCTTGGCCATAAATTTTGAATGTTTGGAGCTAGGGCTTTTATATTACTCGTGTATTCCTTTCACAAGAACTTTCCTTGAGTTCCAACAATTTTGATCCTTTCACCTTGGCCTTGGAGTTTAACCCACCATTAAAAAGATTACCCTTGACCATAACTTTCGAACACTTAGTGCTAGGAGGTTGGTATTTCATAGGTTTATTACTTGTGACAAGACTTTCCCTACGGTGCCATCAATTATGATCCATTGACCTTGACTATTTAGTTTGACTTACTTTTTAAAATCTTATCCTAGGCCATAATTTTTTGCACGGTATTTGCTACGGCTTTTATCCTTTACGTGTATTCCTTATGATATGACCTTTACTAGGGTACACATTATGTAAAGGTCAAAGTTCAAATATGAATATGCCACTTCATGACATGTTTTGTTTTTTCACAAATGCATCTTGCTTGATCGAGCTAAAGGAACTTTTTTTTTATTTTGATTGGGCTTTTAAAATTGTCATTAATATGTCGAGAATTGGTAAAACAATGGAATTTTTACATCGCTGCATGTTTGATTATTCCTTTCTTTTGATGTCTGCAAAGAATCAGGACTTCTAAATCTTTTTTAACCAATGTTGACCACATCCTGTTAAGGAACTGTCACTGTCTGAAAAGCTCTTGTTTAATTATTCGTTGTTTTATATCAAGAAAAGCATTTTGAAGACTATTTATACGATGAAAAATTTAAAGATGTTTTAATCTAGGTCATAACTTTTGAATAGTTGGAGCTGGGGCTAAATTTTTATATTTCAGAAATGTATTTCTTGTGTTAAGACCTTCCCTTGTGTACCAACTGTTTTGACCTTTTGTCCTTGACCTTTGAGTTTGAACTACTTATAAAAATTCGTTTATGTTGGCCATAACTTTTGATAAGTTGGAGCTATTTCTTTCATATTTAACATGAATATTTCTTGTAACAAGACTTTTCATCTGGTAACAATATATTTGACCTTTTGATACTGATCATGTAGTTTGACACACATTTTGCAAAATTTTACGAAACGTTAACCTTGACTATAAGTTTTGAACGGTTGGTGCTACCGCTTACATACTTCAATTTGTATTTCCTGTGATAAGACCTTTCCTTTGGTAAAAATATTTTTTTTTTTACCTTTTCACCCTAACTTCAGAGTTTTTGACTCACTTTCAAAAGACTTAAAATTTGGTCACACGTTTTGAATGGTTGGATCTAGGGCTTTTATATTATACATGTACATCTGTATTTCTTATGTCAAGACCCTCCCTTGCGTACCAACAATGTTGACCATTAAACCTTGGCGTTTGATCTAAATTTGGAAACTTTAACCTTGACTATACCTTTGGAAAGGTTGGTGCTAGAGGGTTTCATATTTCACTTGTTTATTCCCTTTGATAAGACCTTTCCTAGGGAACCTTGGAGTTTGACTCACATTTCAAGAACTGTAAGCCATATGTTTTGAATGGTTGGATCTAGGGCTTTCATTTAATGCATCTACATGTGTATTTCTTGTGACAAAACCTCTTGTGTACCAATAATTTTGACCCTTTGACCTTGGAGTTTGACCTACTTTTGAAAAACTTTAACCTTTGCTGCTTCTTTTGAACGGGCAAGGGCATCATTTTTCACAGGTGTATTCTTCGTGAAAAGAATTTCCCTTGGGTAGCAACAATCTTGACCCTTTGAATTTAACCTCCTTTTATAAAACTTTTGCCCATTGGCCATAATTCTGAACATTTACTGCTAGGGTTAACTTATTTCGCATGTGTATTTGTTGTAAAAAGACCTTTCTTTAATTATAAGTAGCAACAATTTCGGCCCTTTGACTTTGACGTTTGCCCTACTTTGGGAAAACTTTTAATCTTGGCCATTACATTTATCTTTGAATAGTTGGTGCTATAGCTTTCATATTTCACAAGTGCATTCTTTGTGACAAAAGCTTTCTTTAGGTACCAATATTTTTTTTTATCTTTTGACCATGATGTTTGACTTGAATTTGAGAGAAACTTTAACCTTCACCATGAGCTGCCATACGAGGGTATCAATGTTTAGGAAATGCATCTTGTTTTCTATGGTCTTCAGTCCCCGATGCTATCAACAAAAATGACTTTTACTGCTTTAATCCTTTATTTCAAAGGTCCAAAATAAAGTTTATAATATCTTAAACAACAAAATGACAAGCAAAACACAGACTGGCTTATACAGTGTTAAACCGTTTAGTGAACATTATCTAATATGCATATATGGCCAATTCTCCTTGCATAAAACATACTGGACCTAATTTTTTCTCGACATAAATCTTGGTCCACATTTTTTCTTCTCTTTTCTTCTAAACATTTGTACACTTCATGAGTGTCATAGTATTACACATCTGAAATCATGTTGTTTTTTAGTAATTCTTTCGGACTACATGTAGGTGACTTTTTTATGTCAATCTGTCATAATAAAAAAAAAAAACTTATGCAGGATGCAATATTTTGCTAAATAGTAGTAGCATTTTGTACCAAAAAGAAACAGTCAAGACGTAAATAACTGAAATATTACATTCAAAAAATATTTCTCGATTTGAATCAACAGAAAATTCCCTTAAGAAACAGATTTGGATATGTGCGGTACATTTCCCTCTCATTTCGAAAATCATGCCATTGGGTTTTCTTACATGAAAACACCGGGATACAGAATATCATTTTAAAGATCTGGATGTAAGGTTTGGCTATCGGCACATATTGAATAAAGACAAAAACACTCGAGGTAAAACTAAAAATTTTTAGAAATTTTTTTCTTACCTTATAGAAAATATATGGAAACCATTTAAATTATAATAATAAAAGAAAGCATGAGATAAAAATCATCTTCATAATTATTAAGCAAAGCAATTGGAAGGAATCCAATTTAAATTTAAAAGGAAACATAACACACTATCAATTTTATATAAAAATATTGAAAAATAAAGATCATTTAAACCATTTTTGAGATGTTGAAGTATATTACTAAGTAGCTGTTTTTTGGTTTTTTGGTTTTTTTTTTTTTTTTTTTTGCAGTTTTGAACTCATTGCATATAATATCGAATGATATGCTGTCTTTTAACGTATTTAAATATACTGGGATGTCGATTTTAAATGAAGAGAAAAAAAAATCATAACGAATCAATACGTAACTGTAATGAACTAAATGTTGAATCTTGATTTTTCTTCCTGTGGTAAATGCAAATGATTGGTATTCATCGATGAAAACAAAAAAATCAGGAGATATTCCGAATGACTGAGACAATAAAGAAATGAAATTAATAATTCACACAATAACTCAATGCCGGTAACTGTTGTCTTCATCTCTGTTGTGTTAGCTGGCTTAGTTTGCCTTCAACGCTTTTGTAGCTGATGATTTTTTTCCCAGCACATGGTCATTTTGATTTTTCACGAGATCCGACTCCCTCTGCATTCAAACAAACGTTCTCTGGACTCCACTTATTTTGCCCTGATTATTTGAATATCATCGATTACAACACCCTGCAATTAAAAAGAAAATTTAGAATTAAATAAATATAAAAAAAATGTTCTTGAATATTTTATTTACTTTATTGCATTAGCCAAAATTTGAAATTAGATACACTTTCACAACAAAACACTAAAAAACATTTTTTTTCAATATAATAACTCTAACTAAAAACAAAACAATTTTCTTTTTAAAATATGAATAAAATTAATTTTCAAAAAGTATTGTTTTTCCTTCTAAGTTCATTTTTCGATATCAAACATATTTCGACAATGCTTAAAATCAATTTGTCACAATGAATTATGTGCTTTTATTAAAAACCTTTCATAAATACTCTTACGGTGTCTTACGTGACTGCGAATCAAATTTGAACAACTAAGAACTATTTCAGTGCGAAAAGTCAAAATTAAAAAAATCGAAGCCTTTCATTCTGAACTCAGTTACAAATGAAGCATTTACAAATGCTCTGTTTGTAATTTGACGAAACTTCAATCACCGATAGTTCTTGGTAGTTGTGTTCACGATCATGCTAATACAGACATCATTATCGAACGTTAAAAAATAATCATGTCGAATCATTTTGTATCCTTGGGATACGTATTGTTGCAATATACATTATTTATCTTGAAGTCTAATAGTTTTCCTCTTTCAAGTCAAAACCCATCACTTTATAACAAAGAAGGCTTACTGTCCACATCAATATTAGTTTTATTAATTTACGTCACATTACTTATTAACGCACTTGTTGAAAAAAAAAAAATAAAAGACATTAACAGAAAAAGACAGGTGACGTTAATATTTTTAAAAATCAATGAAAATTTTCAACAACTATTCGAATATATCTAACTATTTTAATGTCGAGCGAAATTGAAGGGGTTTTTTTCTCTCCAGTGAATTTTGCATCAATATCAACTTTGATAGTCAAGTCTTACTTTATCTACCTTAACAAATGATCATTCCTGGCAGTTATGCAGCACTTACAGAATTATTGAATAATCAACCGCTGAAGAGGCGGCTAATCGTCACTTGTTTTGCAGGAATTTGTCATTAAGAAATGACCTTATAGAAATGCATGCATCCGATTTATCAACTTAATAGCCTTGATCTCTGGTTAGTTATTTCCAAAAAAAAAAAAATATTTTACGAATTTTGCCTCATTTTCGTGTTTACATTTATCATTTATTTCTGAGTTTGCATTAGGGATGCGAGAAAATGTTTCCAGAGCTGTTGACTAAAGTAAGGGTATGCAAGGTCCTCATTGGGTTGTGTGTACTTTTTTTTTACCTGCGATCAAGACGAAATTATAATCTTTTGATCTGTACTGTAGGGGTGTAATCTACAAGGTTTGTGCAGACTATAAATGAATTATTAAAAGGTCAGAAGTCCGATGATGACAGCAAAAAGTGCTCCTTCACTTTTCCAGTGCAAGAAACAGGTGAGCAAGTGTCAAAAAAGGTTCAGGAGAATAGGAAAAAAGGTTCAGTCTACATTTTGTCATATTTCTCAAAATACATCAAGAAATTAAGAGGTACAGTAAAATAATCCAAGTGCACATGAAATATTCTTGTTATTGAATATGTCAGCCTCAGTGGTTAATATTAATAAGCTTTCTTAAGACTGCGACGAAATAAAAACCAATCCATTTAGTGGAAAAGAAAAGCTGGATAGTAATGAAATATTGATGTAGTATCTGATTGATTAAGGTAAAACCGAACAGGATTCAAAGGAAAGGAAAAATCCAATACAAGAGAACAGTAATTAGTTCAAGTTAAAAACGAAAACTCAGAAAAACACACATAACGACGCCGTCTATAGAAAACCGGACAAAAGTGTAATTAGATGTGTAATATTTTACTGCACTTTGATGTTACGCAAAAGAACTCCTAAAAATGGTAGTTTTCTCAGTGCAACGACTCCTCTGCATGCAGAAACGTCATAAATGACCGGGCTCAGAAGTAGGGATACTGACAAACCAGGCAATGATAATCAGCTTAAAGCTCGAAACAAAATGACAGTCAAGGTAGCGAGGGCTGATTTATACATTTTTATTATCTTCTGTGAATGTCTTTTTCCAACGCCAAGATCACCTTAAACGTCTAGAAAACATTCCATTGCAGTATTTGCAAGCGGGAAGGAAAATTCTGGACGTTTTTATATCGATTCAAGAAAAAAGCTCGGGAACGGCGAAAAGCAATTAATTATCTTTTTTCATTTATTGCTTGTTTTGACACTTAAAAGGCTATTTAAGGATTTCTTCTCGCCATGCATACCTCATCTTGTGTTTTAAGCAGGGACAAATTTGAATTACTCCAAACGAAATACAAAGTCCCCGTCCAGCAAAAAAAAAAAAAAAAAAAAAAAAAAATAAATAAATAAATAAAAAAAATAAAAAAAATAAAAAATCTTATCATACTATGTTAAAGTTTTCTTCCCTTGAAAGCATTATTTCAAAAGCTATTCTTAAAAGATCAATTTCTTCCCTCAAATTACAGTGTCTATTCCGTCTAATTCGCGGGATTGCTTTTTAAAAGTAGACTGGTGACCGATGTGGCTTTGTGAAAAAAAGACTATCAATTTCCAAGCATAGTTCAATCAAACGGTGTGAAAAAGGACAGTGCTATCCGAATCGGGAGCCACTCTGAAAGATAACCGAGATCAAAAGGGCCCAACACATCATTACAGATAAAGCATTTCAATGGTGAAGATGGGCCCGATAGTTCAAGCTCATCGCTGTCCTTAATTATATGCAACAAGATTTAGATGGTCTAGGGTATTGATTTCATTTCAACACGTCAGTGTAGAAATCTATGAGAGAGAGAGAGAGAAAAAAAAAATAAAATATGATCTAAGAGTCCTACAAATTCCTCAGCGCACGAACAAAAAATATAAAAATACCACGACAAACGTAACAAAATTAATATTTCGTCAGGTAAGAATGTTTTTGACATTGATGTCTTAGGGAAAATTCCACTCCTGGTGTTTGTGTCCTCGTGTCCACTTTCTCCAATCCCCAGTGGTCAGTTGTGGTCACGATATACATCACGAACAGCATCCAAAAAAATATGTCACAATTATGCCTATTGACAATGAAAGGCAAGTTGTCTTAATCTAGCATTAAAACAATGACCCAAGACCGCCATGGTATATACAAACACAATATGTTTATGACGTCAACCACAAAACGTATATGTATATATTTATACAAACACTTTATGGGACGCCATTTCTTTAAGCATATGACGTCATACAATTAAGTTCGTTCACCAACAAATAGTCCAGACTTCAGATACGACGTATTTATGGTAAATAAAATCGAAGATAAAGATATTTAAAGAAATCTAAGTAGGCAACAATTCTAGTGCAGTTTTGGGGGTCTAAATCAAAATTATACCCTGCAAAAAAGAAAACGCACCGGAGCCCGGCTACTTTAACATCCCCTTCCACTTTCTGTTTGATTTACGACAAGCTGTTAAGTGATTAAAGGCTTTCATTTTGGACACTCATGGAGTAGCGTCTATCATTTAAGGCTAATACAGATCAATTTCTATACACTTACGTCTATCATTTTCTTCTCTTTCAGCGCAGAAAGGGTATTACAAAATGACGGGCTGAGCGGTTTACACATATACCTCAAGACTGATGGTAGAGGGAGAGAGAAAAAAAAAGAAGATTCGATTGATGGTTTCGCTCTGAGCTTTGTCATACACTAATCATCTTCTATGATGAATCATTCCATTAAAGGAGAAAAAGGTGAATATCAAATATCAATTAAAATCGGGCTAATTAATCATTTTCGAGCGAAACCAAACATTACGGGGGGAATGCACATTGTCAAGAAGTTAAAAAAAAAATTAAAAGAAAATACGAAGACTTTTAATGCATAGTTAAGAACGGGTGTTGCTAAAACGCGGAACGGAAAACGGAAAATATGATTCAAGGTTAAATCACGTAAAATATAAAAATCATACCAGAAACAGTATATATCATATAAATTTTTCATATCTAATCCTTAATTATTAAAGTACGAACTGATTTAGTCATGTGCATTCTCTTATTCATGAAGATCTCTGAACACAGACAAAGCACAGGGTACGGAAAACGGAACAGAAAATATCTAATGCTGTACATATATACATGTAGCATGTTGTGGTAAAATATGGATGAGTTGGAAAAACTTTTTTGAAGATCACTCTGATTAATATGAATGGCAGGTATTCGATATCCTTATGAGTCATATAAGCGAAAAATTCCGTAATTTTCAATGCAAATGTACCCATGCACCTCAAATGTGGATAACTTACATCTCTGTAACCCCCTCCCCCCCACAATACTAAAATATAAATAACAACTCTATATTTTCTCAGAAATATGTAATTTCCCCATCAATTTCATCTTGACGTTATTCTGTGCAATCAGTTTATGTTGTATTGTACAATTTTTAAAAATCAGAATTTGATGAGTGATAAATGAGACATTCTAATACATAATTAGGATGTGAATCTAATTAGTTTATTGACCATTGCATGTATATGCTACATGTTCTGAGGGAAAAAATCATGAATAAATCACATTGTTACGGTAACTTTTAATTATATATGAACTACATGTATTAGATAAAGAATATTGCTTCCTTTGTCTGAATTATACCTGTGCTTAGTGAAAAACTTAACATCAAATTTTCCGTTTACCGTTCCACTTTCCGTTCCGCGTGTTAGCAACACCCGTTAAGAACAACCCTAAGAATTTTAAGGCTGTTTAAAATTAATTCTACGTTTAACGTCACCCGCGCGCGAAGGTTTAGGAGAAATCAGTCTTTGAAAAAAACAAACAATTCGGAATTTCATGTATCCGTTCCGGTTTGGTTCTACGTATGGCGACTTAATTCTGCATCCCGTAGTGACAGAAAATGTGCTTTGATACCGCAGTTGAAAAACTAGTGAATTAAACAGTATGGGATCATAAATGTAATTAAAAAATAGATGATTTTATGACTGAAGTTAATGACAAGGTCTAGTTTGTTGAGTTTTTATCAGTCTTCGTATCACAGACTCTCAGTTCGTAATTATGTTGGCTGAACTATTCATTGTATTTGGAGAGAATTGCAAAACTTTTTACTGAGTGCAAAGTGTGTCAAAAACAAAGATTTTACAATAAACAGTGAGATGCATCATTTAAATTTTATTTAATAGTTTCATCTTTAAATATTTCTGTAAAAATTTAAAGGAACATTAAGATTATGATTTCTTCACAGATGTAGCATTCATGTACCTACAAATGGCAACAATTTTAGGGAAAGATAATATTAGTCATTACCATTTGACAGAGATAAGCTTAGAGAATATAGGGCCTTTCAAGCAAAGGAGAGTAAGGAAAGTGATTGGGGTATTCCAAGAAATGAAGAATCCTGTCGTGTGTGGAATTCAAGGTAAAACTTTCAAATCTAAATGCTAGGAGATCTAGTACTATGAGTAAAAACATAGCAGAATTCAATTTAGAGATATTTTCAATTTTAGAATGTATTATATACTGTCAACATAATTTTAATTGTAGATATCGATCAACTATTCCCACATTCCCACAAGAAGCAGCATTTTCCTTCAGGATACCATGGACGTGTGGCAATATACGTGTAAATCCAAAGGACAAACGAGGCCCGTTAAAAGCCACTCTCCTGTACATTCAGTCTACATTGTTTGCTCACAAAAGGATTCAAACCAATATACATGTACATACTAAGGAAAAACTCTGCTTAGGAAATTAGACTTAGATGTCATATCCAATACTCTTTTTACTCAATAGTGATTTTTTAACGTACTGAATTGGTTAATTTGAATAAATTCACAAATGTTTAAAATTTTTGTTTATTTTTTTTTTGTCCCTCCCTCGTAGGTTTTGAACTTTAGAGGTGACGTTAAACGTAGAATTAACTTTGAACAGCCTAATGCAATCAAATAACAGGTTATTTCAAAATGACGAATTTAAGTTAACTTTTGGTATTCTCAAATGCACAAGGTTTTGTTGGATACTATCTTTATACACTGCATCTAGGTCTAGTTATGTTTGCAGTTTTTTTTTAAGATCGAAGAAATTGACGAACACCTATGACGAATGTTGCAAAATGGGGAGAGTTAGGTCAGTCTGCATGATATTTTCCAAATTTTAGACGTGACTCTCAACTTTGCGATGTGTTTTCAGTATAACTCAATGTAAAGATACCAGGCATTAGACATTAGCCAAAAATTCAGCTATTGTGGCCCCTTTTTCAATGACAGAGTTTTTTTTCTTCAATGAAAAGATCTTTTATACAGCCTTTGATTTATAAAATTCTGTAATATAAATTAGTAACTCGAGCATTACTTAGGTCAAATTATATCCCCAACCTGTGTAAACATTTATCAAGATGCCAAATTACCTCCAAACTTTATATTTAGGAATGCGTACTTATATCTCCAAATGTTATTTTCTTGCTACGTCATCTTTAGCTCTACATATTTTCATTTACAGCGAAATCTGTAGATCTTTACTGGAATAAAAAGACTGAAAACTAAAGAATCGTTAAGTATCGGTCAAAATTGGGTCATTTTAGGAATTTGTTTTAGAAGTTTTCGTGTTTTTGTTTCTATTTTATTGTCTATCATTTTTGTTGCAGTCATAAAATACTCTGACGTCAACATTTTTATCCACTATATTTTTATCCATGAGCCATGTTACTGCTTTGTAACGCATCGACCGTTTATAACAATAGATAAGATATAGCCTATCAAACGTTGTCTAGTTTTGTTGCGGCGATTTGCTTTTTTGTCCATCTGAAGTTTATTGTAATTGTTTGCATCCAATACTTTTTTTTAAATTATATTATTAAGTATATTATATAAAGGTGCAATCAACGGGACTGAATGCTTAGAACTGAAACGTGACCAGAAAGTAGAACATACATGTATATTTATTTAAAAAAATTATTATCCACATAATAAGTAATAAACTCGGAAACACTTTACAATCAATTCGGCATGACAAGTCTCCTTTTCGGCGGGTTGAAAAATGCATCCACAGAATTCTTTGCATAAATTTGATTTTCGGTGGAAAAAAAAAACTACTTTTTTGCCACAAGATTTAAAAAAAAAATCTAACTTTTTATTAGTAGTCGTATAAAACTTCACATCTGGTTTTATGACTTCCGTATTATCAGAGAGAGCAAACTGTGTAAAAGATCATGCTCCACAGCAAACATCAAGAGGCGGAGACAATATATATGACTAGAAAATATTTTGGATCCGCCCTTGAAGTTCCTTATCAATCGCAATCGGGGAGCAAATCTCGAAGTAAAATCATCTTACTTTTTATGGGTGTAAAAATCATCCATCTGCATCTTGTCTTATGAATCAGTATCTTAGATTTCAGGATTTTCAAAAACTTGCGCATAATTACAGACCCAGCATGATTACTGTTTTATTATCATGCATGTATTACTTCATGCGTGGATATGAAGTGCATATTTTCTAATATCTCCACCTTTAATTTTTACCATGTTCCAATCATGGAAAACTCAATGCGCTGTGATAACAGAAATATTTGAATGGCTAATTGAAGCATTTATCAGAAAAATTAATTTCAAGAGATTGTCTTCTATCTTTGATGAAAAATGCATCACAGCTAGAAAAACAAACAAACAAAAACAACAGCAAAAAAAAAAAAAAAAAAAAAAAAGAAGCTATACACCTTATTTGACACGAGGAACAAATCTTACCATGTGTCAGTGGGCCAAACTGCTAGGAGCCGCTCTCATGTTCTGGGACACAATGGGGTAAGACACCAGAGGCGCCGAAGGGGGTCCCTGCAAATTCTGTGGAATACTTTGCGTCATTGAGACAGCAGGCGGAAGTGTCTGTTGCATAGAGCCGGATGTCAGGGAAACATTCTGTGGAAGAGAGACCGGAACTATATTTCCTGGGTTTATTGTAACGGAAGGGTTGAGGGGTGCCCCTGCCAACCCTCCAGCATTTTGCTGACCTAGTTCTCTCGCCAGATGCTGCTGCAAAGCATGCTGGGAAGCCAGTTCACTATTTAGCGCTATTTGCTGAGCGAGGCTGCTAACTGCTAGCTGATTAAGGGGTTGCGCCGGAGTTGCAGTTGCACCGATGCCAGGCGTCAATTGCTGGCTTACCGGTACACCTGCTGCGTTTAAAGACTGTACAGCAGTTGTCCTACTGACACGATATCTTGCATTTTGTTCCAGTAGCACTTCGTTGGTGGCAGTAAGATCTGCCACTTGCTTTTTAAGTTCTTCCACTTTCCTTCTTAACATAGAATTTTCCTCTTCTAAAAGCTGATAGCTGAATGGACGGCTTGAGGAATACCTGCCTTCAAATCCTCCGAATCCATCGAATTCACGGTCTGTTCTCCTACGTTTAACTCCTCCTGGTGTATGTCCATATTCAAATGCTTCAAAAGTGTTGAAGTCATCTTCGTATGGATCATACATTTGATTGTTATTGTTCCTATGGTCGGATTTTCGAAGTTCAAAATCATATTCTCCTCCCGTCATATGTCGGAATTTACACTTAGCACCTCGTTTACAATTTCCTTTCAGATAATCTTTACAGATGGGGATCTCTCCCCTTAACAACGGAACCTCCACATTAGGAGTGACCCCGAGTCCTAAAGCAGCGGCCTGTTGAAGCCGCACTGGAAGTTGCCCAGTCTGTTTATAATGTTCTTCCTCTTCCCGCGTACAATGCAAAAATTTACAGTTCCCTCTTCTACACCCTGTGTTTTGAAAATCGTGACAAAAAGTTATTTGTTGTCTACCAAGATCCCGCGCTTCGTCAGTATTAGGATGACGGTATTTGCATCGCTTGCCTCGCTTACAAACATTTCGCAAGAAATCGCGGCAAATGTCATCATCCTTTCCATTTAAATGCTTATGAGCCAAACTTTCTTCGCTCGAGGTATCACTATTTTCAGACATAGTACTGTTTTTGTATATAACTGTAAGTTTATTGTTTCTTTTTTGTCTATAATTTTGAAAGCCTTATGATAAATCACATAGGAATACACATGCACCTAATTTTCGCCAGTCGAACACAGACGCTTCAAACACTGATAATATTTTAATCCAAATCGCATCAATGATTGGCCACTCTCCAATTTGAATTCACCAATGGGCAGCTAGTAGCCATAATCTGTAAATAAAACAAAAGTAGACAGTGATAACTTTTCGAAACCCCTCCTCTAAATAAGTGTTAATGACGTTACCATCTTTGGAGAGGTTCGCCATCGATACAGCCAGCATTTGTCCCTAGGTGGAGAAAAACTATAGCATTAGTCTTATAAATCTGCAATAAAAACATCCGCCGACATTAAGATTGCTCCAAACTAAGACGCTAACTGATAGGCGAGATATGCATATATAATCTAAATAGGAAAATTTAGCCTTAATTATCAAAACGGAGTACATTCGTGCTAAATCGTAATCTGTAAAGGACATCACGATTATGAGCATTTATTTGCACGAATTGATCACCTTCAATATTAACAGTCTCATTTTTTTCAGTAACTCGATGATTCCTAAAAGAGTGTCATTATATTATCATATTCTGTAATATAGAGCTAAAAAAAGCACAATCACTGAGCTGAATCAAAGTATATATTGATTTTATAATTATGGTCAAAGAGAGGAAAATATGAGCAATTACACGTAACAAAGTAAAAGACCAACAGACTATTGCAACAAACTTCAATATCTTCCTTCATTTTCCTTTGAACACAGAGACAGTGTATCTTTTCAGTTGTTAATAAAGTGTAAAAAGATAGTATCCATCTTTTGAAGTTTTTTTTTTAACCGTTAAATTTTTTCCCCATAGTTTGCTTTACTTTGATATTTCCTTCATGACTACAAATTGTGCATAGCAACACCAGTAGGTAAAGGTATTGTGTATGAGACTTTATGCGTTCAACAATGCCAACATGAATGTAAGAAGACAGGATATAGTTTTTAACAAACCGAATAAATTCAAATGATTCTGCCCATACTAACAATCCGACCTAACCTTTAGAAATATACCACATTTGCCTTGACAGTGAAGGAAAAAGGGGGGGGGGTTCAAAAATATAATTTTAGACTGAATATCAAAAGATCTATCAATGCATACATTAATATTTAATCTGTCTATAAACATTAACGAAGAAATTTTAGCTTCAATAGGCAGCTTTAAGTACATATTACGTACATGTAATAAAAGTGAATACCTGAATGGGCATATCAAAAGAGCACAAATCAAAAAACCAGGAATTCTACATGAAAGTCCCTGAAGTATTCTCCATAATACGTCTACCCAACATTTAAATAGAAAACTACCCCTAAAAGACCGCTCAATCATTTCCCCACTTTTTTTTTTTTTTTTTTAAAAACCCTGATACAAATCGGTCTCTCATTAGCCTCTACAATTGCTGACACATAATTGATGAGTGTTTGTTGAACTGAATTAGTCGTTTGAAGAAATACGTGGATTATCCATTTCCATCTGTCAGTCTGTAACTGTGTGATAAATTTGTCACTGTTTCCTGTGACTAAAAGGGCTGTGACAATTTGTTTTCGTTTTTCCCTTTCACTGCACTAAATGATATCGGCATTTGCAATACACTGTGTTTCTTGTTCTTTCATCCTAATCCCTAGTTGAAATTTTTTTATGCTGGTTAAGAAATTCCGATTCCTGCCATACAGGTGTTTGAATGGTATTCTCCAGAAAGGCCACTTTGTTTTCTCAGTTACAAATTAAACGTTAAATATGTAGACCCTATCATTAACAGGTGTAGAAATAAACTTAATTACAAGTTATCTACTTCGATATCTTCTACGAGTTATATCCCGTTCTTAAGTGAAAAACATATTTAAATTGCCTAAAGAGTTTGTAAAGAATTGCATGTCAAGATCTTAAAAGTTTACCTATATGTACATTATGCAATAGGTCAATTTGTCAAATCCTCTTATCTATTTCTTAAATCTTGCATATTAGCTGGGACGAAGAAATCCGCACATAATCCCAGCCTTTTAATTAAGAATATTGCAATTGAGCAGGGCGAAGTCATGCACTGATTAAAAGGAGGACGAGCGATGCAATAAACACACCGACTTCGTATAGATTCTCCATTCAAACCGTGCAATCCGTACGCTTCCAACAGAAAAATACCGACAACATTAAGATACGATCAATCAGATATCAAAGAATTCCAATACATTAATTGGTTTCACAATCGCCAATTTACATGCGCCTCGCCAATAGAAATGTCAACACACGTGATAAAACAAAATGAGATTCCAAATTGAAAGACCAAGTTTGCATAGTACTCAACGAGCTTTATCTTTTCCCAGTTTAAATGAAAGCTCTCCGTCTTATCCACATAAACATCAGACAATGCTCTCATTAATGAGTCGCAAGAATAAAGCCAATTCAATTATAACAAGCTCAGAATCCCTTCTCTTAATATCCAATTTCATTGTAATAAAAATACTAACTTCTTGTCTCATAGCACTTTAGCATAAAATGTTTCTCTTAAATTCTGGTGCCCATCTCTAAAGCTAGAAAAATAATCAAACACCTTTTCGTCAACATTTTCTAATAAACATGCCAGTCTCCTGTAGCAAAGGGAACTTGGCAGCTCCAGAAAAATCTAGAATCCGTGATGACTTTACCATAATACGGTTATGACAGCCCCATTCCTTTTGTTTTCAGTTCTTTTAATCAACACGGAGCCAGGAAGAAGATTTTCAGAACAAGAAGGTATTTTCGGTTACGCCGTATTTACTTCCTACACAAAGCCGGCCTCTTCGCCACCAGTCTTTGGGAAAAAAAACACAAGAAGCTGTTAAAGAAGGCATGGAGAAGATAGCATTTTCTTTGTTATAATATTAATTATGTTTTTAACGTCGATACCGATTAAAGCTGGAAAGCTTTTAGAGTTGGATTATTTTACACTTTCAGCAACAGATGTTTACACTCATGATGCTGCGAATGAAATTAGTTTTGTCTTCGGTGTGAAGCGAAATCTTAGCCTGTTGTTACGTGGGGGTTGGGAATTTCGATTTGTGTATTTAAGAAATCTTCCATTATCAATATAAACATCAAAATATGCTGGGAATCTTAAACCACCAAAGAGAAACACAACCCTCTCCGCAAAGATACAGATGGTGAAATATCCACGAAAATATATATAAAAGACCTACAGAACGCATGCCGGTGACGATAACGCTGCTTTCAGAATGCAGTTGCATGAGAGTTTCATAGCTTTCGGTGTTCGTAATATACATTCCTTTACGATGTAAATATTATTTTCACATTTCGTGTTACTTTACTGATAAACAGGTATACCCCTCTCTGATAAGTTCACTTTCCTAGAGATTGCTGCTTTTCTAAAGTAGTATATGCTTCCTATGAACACAAGTAAAGTTGTGTGTATGTAAATTTTCCATTACCATTTTAGTTACACCTTTTCCTTCAAAGAATACTTGACAAGGAACCATGAGGAACAAATAAAATTTGAACATACAAGTACATGTATCTTCATCTTTTTGTACTGTACATACAGGGAGGGGGGTGAAACTGGGTGCTATTTTTCTTCTTTTACAACCTGTACATTCTCTTTAACCGAGATCTGGATATGATATGATAAAATTCCGCTTACACGCCTGACAAATACATGTAGGGATTATGAGTACATTGTTTCTTTCTCCATCTATACAAGTCACTTGTCACAAACAGGGTTAACAGACATGCAAGTCATTCATTCTACGAGGTGCAAACACCATCCATTTACCCCTATTGCCGTCACTACAAGTAAACATCACACCATCCTTAACCGTTTTTTGAACTACATCAACCATGTTGTCTTTTGGAAATACTTTTGTCTCATTCTACTGATGATTTTTTTTTTTTTGGTATACCTATAACACACAAAAATACAGGAGGATAAAACGCACGATCAACTAGGACCTTAGGTCACCTGCTCATTTAAAACCATGCATCAAATCCGTTTACTCCGCTACAAAATATAGTGCATTACAACGGAAAAGGTGAAAATAAAATAAATAGTACTACTGTGAAGTCTTGACAAACGTAATACAACAAGCAGAAAATGAATTTCCTTAAAAACGTTATTCTGATTACAGCAATAGGAAATGGAAATCAGCGGGCAGCATAAATGTTACATCAGACAATACTGCAGTGTAAATGTGACACTTCTACCTGACGACTTCAGACTTTCTTATATCAATCTACGCTCAAAATAAATGTCCTTTCTGCAAATCGGTTATAGCGAAAGGAAAACTTAAAAAAAAAATAAAATAATAAAATAAAACAATGCTGTATCCAAATAAAAAAAAATGAAGCCACAAAATTCCTTTAAGAGAATGTAGTCAACAGTCGCTATACTTCAAAAATAAATGGAACTGATACCTGTAGATTCAACTGTGAAATAGAAAATGTAATAGTTACATGTATAAGTGTTCCAATATCTCAATCAGTCGTTCAAATAAAGCAAAGATTTTTTAGTAGCTCTAATGAAGCATGGATTTTTAAAATAAATTCAAGAACGTTAAATAATATATATATATATATATATATATATATATATATATATATATATATATATATATATATATATATATATATATATATATATATATATATATATATATAACTTTAGCGAAGCTGAAACAATAAAAATATTTACATAAACACGAATATACCCACTGTTAAAACTTACGAATTAACGCCTTTTCAAATATTTATTTACTACACGATGCATGCATTTACGGCGTCTTTTCAAACTTGTGACAAGATAAATGAGTTTCCATATCATTAAATAAACATTTCACTTCATTTTAAAACACACAGCTGTCAAGTCAATGTCTGTATGCGATGTATTCATTAAGAATTACTGCACCACTGACTGTAACTCACGATTACTGAAAACTCGACGCTGGAAAGAAGCATATTAAATTCTTATTAAGAAGAAAGCAACTTGAATTTGAAATGTGTTGCTTGAAAGTGCAAGACACTCTTCACAGTGCCTCTAAGATAGCAAGGGAACATTTGAAAGCGGGGTAGGTGTCCCTTGTCTTGTACTATTTCAATCCAAAAGAAGAAAATATGATGCTTATTATATTTTGTGTGCTATTTTGTGT